CACACACGCACACACGCACACACGCACACACGCACACACGCACACACGCACACACGCACACACGCACACACGCACACACGCACGCACGCACGCACGCACGCACGCACGCACGCACGCACGCACGCACGCACACACACACACAAACACACACACGCACACACGCACACACACGCACACACACACGCACGCACGCACGCACGCACGCACGCACACGCACACACACACACACACACACGCACACGCACACGCACACACACACACACACACACACACACGCACGCACGCACGCACGCACGCACGCACACAAACACACACACACACACACGCAGCCGTTCTGGCCCAAGTGGGCTTGGTGCAGCATACATTCAGAGCGGCTATATTGCTGTGCCGAGCTGAAGTGGCTCGTTCTGCAGATTGCTTCTCTTGCCCGTGAGGGCGCAGCGATGGCGAATGTCGGGGCGCATTGGAAATGTCCGTGCTGCCCGAAGTTCAACCCGATCAGCAAGGTCAAGTGCGCCCAGTCGGGGTGCAGCGGAGTTCGGCCTGGCCATGGCCCCGCGCCGCGTCCGTGGCACACCGCAGGTGGGAAGTGGGCTCAAGGTGCTCCGCAGCTTAAGCCTGGCAAGCCTTCTCGTCGGCGTGTTGCTGCAGGTGCTACACTTGATGATGCTGGTGCCAAATCGTGCGTGGAGCTTGCTCCAGATGTCTGGGAGTTGGTCAAGTCTACTCTGTCTCAGTCCAGCCGTGATCGTGTTCAGTATGCGAGAACGGCGGCGGCGGCAGGCTGGGCTCCAGGCGTCACACAGAATAACAAGGCGGAGAAGGCTGCGAAATCTTTGCTCGCTGGTCAGCAGAAGCTGCAGAAGGCGAAGGAGGCAGCAGCCGAGGCCATGGTCGCCCTGCAGGAGCGGCAGGTGGCCGTCGCTTCTCTGGAGCAGGAGCTGGCTGTGGCCAAGGAGGGAGCTGCCAAGGCACTGGGTGCGTCCACTGCGCCGCCCAAGCTTGACGTCGGCCCCTTGCTCGAGCAGCTCAAGCAATTGCAGTCCAGCGCAGGCCAAGGCGACACTGTTGAGGCCATCTTCGGGAAGGTCACCATGGCCGTCACCGAGTTCGCCCAGAAGCAGCGGCCTGCTGCCTCCCCTGTCCCCTGTCCTTCCTCCACGGCCCCTCCAGCAGGTGGTGGCGCCAACGGTGGCGGCGCGCCTGGCGCCGACGGCGGCGCCGAGGCGGCCAAGGGGACCCATGGCGATGCAACCGTGGAGGATGGCGATCGCGGTGGCTTCAGCGGCCATCTTGATGGAGAGGATCCAGGAGGGCTGCCGGCAGGGGCTACAAACCCCGACGAGCGCAAGCGGATCCTGGAAGCGTTGGAGATCCTTCGTGCGGAGTCCAAGCGGAGGAGGACGAATCTTTAGTGGCTCACGGCAGCGGCGTTCCTGGGTCGGTCTCACAGTGAACGCCAACGCAGACTCTACGTTTGAGACCCTCCTGGACCGCATGGAGATCCGACGGTCTGATTTTGTCGCAGTCCAAGAGACGCATCTCACTGTGGAGCGCAGCAATGAGGTGGCATCGAGGCTAGCCAAGCTCGGCTGGCATGCGCACACATCCCCAGCAGAGGGCTCAGGGCCCGGAATTCCTGGGCATGGAGGCCTCCTTCTGCTGTCGCCACGGGTGCACGGCGTGGGCCAGTTCGAGGGTGTCGGCAGCTCAGTCATCGACGCTGGGCGTGCGACCTTCGTTCACCACTCAAGCTTCTGCTCGGGTGGCGTGGTGCTGGCCACGGTCTACCTGCATCCTGGCGAGGGGCTCACGTGCGCCAGCGGGAGCATCCTGCACAAGGTCGCCACCGTGCTGCAGGTCCTCGGGCGCCCATTCATCATCAGCGGCGACTTCAACATGGAGCCAGCCATGTTGATGCAGTCCTCCCTTCTCGAGCGGTGCGGCGGCCGAGTTGTGGCGCCGAGCTCGGGAACCTGCAGACCTTCGGAGCACGTCATTGACTACTTCGTCTTGTCCAGGCATTTCCGCGTAGCCAGCGCCGAGGTATTGCACGATTGGGGGTTTGGGCCGCATCGGCCTGTCAGGCTCACGATCGACGGCGCTCAGATTGACGACTGGGTGCAAGTGATGCGCACGGCCAAAGCCTTTCCCAGTCCGTTTCCTGCTGGCTGTTGCACGCGGGACTTCTCGGAGGGTTGGCGCGCGCTGCGAGAGGTCACGACCAGCGTGGACACGGCCTGGACGCAGTTTATAGGCGTCACGGAGCACGACCTCTGTGACTTCGCAGGGCTCGACCTCGACAAGTACGGTGGCCGCGGTCGCAGACCAGAGCTCGGTTGGGCTCGAGCCTGCCCGCCCTCGGCGCCTCGCATTCCGAAGGTGAGCAGGCCTGCGATGTGGTTGAAGGGCGTGGCCCTTGCTGCCGCCGACGGGGTCAGTGATGATCTCATCCGCCGAGTGCGAGGTCAGCGAGCTCTGGCGCGCAGAGCGCAGCGGCCACCTGCCAGCACGTGGTGCCATGCGGTGGCGCTTCTCTGCCGCGCGCGTGAGTGCATGGGCAGCGTTGAACTGGAGTGCTTGGTTGGGATCACCAATCAGCTCGCCGACGATGCCGTCGCTACCGATGTGAAGGAGTCGAAGGCGCGCTTCGGGGATTGGGTCGACTGCAACTCTGCTGGCGGGGGGGCTGCGCTGCATGCTTTCACGAAAGAGCCTGCGGTGAACGCCTCCGCGATCCAAGGGGTTGCAGTGCCGCTGGGCAAGATGGAGGCGGTCAAGGCGCTGGTGTGCGAATGGTCGGAGTGCTGGCGCACCGCGGCGGAGCCTCCGAAGCTGAGTTGGCCTGCTGACCTTGGCGAGCGTCCCAGGCGGCCGACCCCTGCTCAGCTACGTCGAGCATGTGCAACCTTCAAGGTCCACGGAGGGCGCAGTTTCGACAGTTTCAACCCGCGCGACTTCGGCGTGCTGGACGATGCGGGCCTGGAGGCGCTCGCAGATGTGATCGAGTTGGTCGAGCAGCAATGTTGTTGGCCTGGCTTTATCAATAAGCTTGCATTCATACCTAAGCGTGAAGGTGGAGTGCGGCCAATCGCCCTTCTTGCCGCGCTTGTTCGAGTGCATGGGCGGTTGAGAAGGCCCATGGCCACAGTGTGGGAAGCCACCCGCAATCGCGGCTACTGGTGGGCGTCGGCTGGCAAGAGTTGTGATCGTGCAGTGTGGCAACAGTTGGCATGGAGTGAGTGGGTATCCATGGAGATTGCTGAAGATCCCAGCGCCGACTGGGCCACTGCAACGCTATTACTTGACTTGTGGAAGGCCTTTGTACAGATCAGGCATGACAACTTGTTGAGATTGGATCAGAAGTTTTCCTTTCCTGTGGTTGTGGAAGCTGCAACTGGATATTTATGCCAAGGCCCGTGCTCTCGTGTTGGATGGTGCCGTGTCTGATCTGGTTTACGTGCGCCAGACCGTGCTTGCAGGCGACTCGTTTGCCACAGCTTTCATGAAGCTGCAGCTGATCGAGAGTGTCGATCGCATGCAGCAGGCGGTGCCCGCGGTTTCCCCCGCCATTGTGGTTGATGATTTGGTTCTGCAGCGGCGCGGCGGTGAGCATCGGGTGATGCGAGACATCGTCTTGGCGGCGCAGGTGCTGGTGAACGCCGCCAAGAAGTCGCAGGTCCTTGCATCAAGTACGGCCCTCACTCGCACGTTGAAGGCCAAGCGGATTACGATCGCGGGTGCTCATGCAGTCAGGCACGCGAGGAACCTCGGCACTGATTTTGCTCAAGGACGCGCGCTTGGGCGACAGGTGCGACGCGCGCGACTGCGAGCTGCTGAGCGACGGGTACCCAGAGTGCGGCGTCTATTGGGCAATGGAGGTCGACGTGCTATCGCAGCTCGAATCGCCAAGCAGGGCCTCGAGGCAGGTTATGCGTACAGCGTGAACTGCACGGGGCTGAGCGATACCGACCTTCAGTCTGCTCGGTCGGTCGCCTTCCGTTCTACGGAGGCCCGAGTAGACGGCAAGAGTCGCGCGCTCTGTCTCATGCTGTCGCCTGTGCGCGATTTCGACCCCTGTATGCTGCACCGTGCCGTCTGGGACAGTTGGATGCCGCAATCTATGCTGTCGTCGGTGCTGGAGTGGACTTCTAGGCACGTGCAGTCTTGGGCCCAGGTACGTGGGCCCATCAGCGCGGCATTCATGTCCTTGCTGCGCGTCGGCTGGGCGGGGGCCAGCATCAGCACCTGGATCAACGCGGCTACTGGCGCAGTGTATAGGCCGCTGGATTTTTCGCCGTGGTATACCAAGCAACTGGTTCGGAAAGCAGTTCTTCGGTGGCAGTTCCGGAAGTGTGCTGACGAGCTGCCGCATTTGGACAACGGTTTCAACATCATGCAGCTGAGGAAGTGGATCTATCGAGGACGACCCACGGCGTCGGAAGGACGTGACTGGCCTAACCTTGGCGCAGAAGGGCGGCGGTACGCCAGGTCGCCCATCGTCGGCGGGCAATGGACCAGCCATCGCCGCTTTCACAATAATCCTCGGTATGCGCATTCAGAAGATTGCAACTTGTGCCCTGGGCAAGCTGGCACGCTGTGGCACCGTCATGTGGAGTGTGCTTACCATTGGCCGCAGGCGGAGTTGTCAGCGGCCATTGCCACGCTAAAGAGACAGGCGGACCACCCCGACATCATCACGCTGGTCGAGCGGCTGCTGCTAGTACGGCCACGAGTGGTGTGGCAGCCACCTCAGGACGAGATCCTGTCCTCTGTCAAGTGGTTGCTGGGGAATGGTGCTATGCCCTTTCACAATGATGAGCTGTTCACTGACGGCTCGGCGTTCGACCTTGACATCGATTACGGCATGGCTGGCTGTGCGGTGGTGCAGATTCCGCTTGGGCCTGGGTGGTTTGACCCTGGTCCGAAGTGCGCCATTCGCGCCCTGGGATCGCCATTGATGGGGATGCACCAATTCGTAGAAGGTGCTGGGCTTCTCGCCGTGCTCATTCTTCTTCGTCACAGCCTGGCGCCCATCACGGTGCGGACTGATGCCAGTTACGTGGTTGACGGGCTCCTGGTGCGTGGGCCTGAGGGTACTTGTGGTGCCTCCCACAGCTGGGCTTTCCTGAGGCGGATGGTGTGGCGTGCTATCGAAGATTTCGGTGGGCTCGGTCCCGACGGGCTCACCGTGCTCAAAGTTAAATGACACGGCACTCTGAGAGATGTGGAAGCGGGTCGGCTGTCTCGTTGGGAGCGTCGGGGCAACCTTGAGGCCGACGAGTGGGCCAAGCACGCCACTCGGCCGTGCGTTTTGGGCGAATCTGATAGGACCAATATCAGGCGGTCGCACTTGCTGGTGGACGGCGTTGTGGCCTGGGTGTCCTGTGCTGGTGCCCCTGCGTCAGCCGCCCGCGACGACATTGACGCTAATGTGGTGATCAAGCTTCCGCCGAAGGTTCGTCTCAGCCTCGCGGAGCACGACTTCGAGGTCGCGGCGAGCTGCTGGCGGTGCTCAAGGTGTGGGCGGTACGCCGCCACCGAGAATTCCAAGCGTAAGCTGTTCAGCCTGCCCTGCATTCCACGGCCTGTGACGAGTGCCCCGCGCTCGGCCGACACGTCAGGAGTGAAACGACCTGCAGCAGCGGCGGGGCTTGCGGCGGCCGCTGCCGTTGCTGCGGCTGCTTCAGCTGCTTCGCAGTTCGGCGGCAGTGCGGATGCTCCAGCTGCTAGCGCTGGAGACGACGGTGCTGCACGGCGCGATAGTGATGATCAGCGGGCGTCAGCAGCGGCGTCGAGTGGTGCAGGCGCGGAGTCGGAGGCCCCAACGGACATGGCGAGGGGCCGCGACATCCGCATCACCAACGGCTTCCGTGTGTGTATGAAATGCTGTTACTTCGTTCGTGAACGTGAGGGGCTCGTCCGTGAGCTTGGGAAGGATTGCGCGGGACACCCTCGCAAAGGAGACAATGCTGGACGAGTTCGACAGCAGCGGAGAGGCCTGATTCTGTTGGGCAAAGATCCCAAGACTCGGAGGCTTCTCACGGGAGCTTGATTCGATGGGGCTACGTGTGGTTGCTGCTGCGGAGTTTCGGCTTCTGGTACATCCACATGTGAGCCTCTGAGTCCTTCTTTTAACATCACACGCTTTGCGTGGCACCCCACTCAGTGTGTGATGTCTGTGCTTTCACGTCAACGTTCCTTGCTGTTGATTGTGTTTGTGCACGCTTCGCGTGATATCCTCCAATGCGACCCTGATGTCATGCTTGTTGCTCCCGACATAGCACACGCTTCGCGTGGTCTAACCTGGGCCGTGCTTTGCGCTTCGCGCGGCGCTCGCCCGAAGGGTGGAGCTCCGCCGTGCCTTTGCTGTGGCGTGGACTGTGGGGTCCTGCCGTAGCCTTGCTTGGTTGATCGGGCCGAGGGGCTCGGTTGTGGCGGCCCTGGCGGCTGTCGTGTGTACAGCTTGGCTGTGCACACCTGCACGTTCAAAACACACACACACGCACACGCACACGCACACGCACACGCACACGCACGCGCACACGCACACGCACACGCACACGCACACGCACACGCACACGGACACGCACACGCACACGCACACGCACACGCACACGCACACGCACACGCACACGCACACGCACACGCACACGCACACGCACACGCACACGCACACGCACGCACACGCACACGCACACGCACACGCACACGCACACGCACACGCACACGCACACGCGCACACGCACACGCACACGCACACGCACACGCACACGCACACGCACACGCACACGCACACGCACACGCACACGCACGCACACGCACACGCACACGCACACGCACACGCACACGCACACGCACACGCACACGCACACGCACACGCACACGCACACGCACACGCACACGCACACGCACACGCACACGCACACGCACACACACCCACACACACACTTTGTCACAAACCGCCTCCTCATTGGAGAGCGTCTTGTGTCGAAATTGTGTTTATGTTTGGGCCCTCTTGGAGCCATCTTGGGGCGCTCTTGGGGCCCTCCTGGGCTCTCTTGGGGCCCTGCGGGAGCCCTCTGGGGGCCTGAAGAGGAGGCCTCCAAGAGGGCCAACACACACACACATTTAAGACAAACCGCCTCCTTATTGGAGAGCGTTTTGTTCTAAATTAGTGTCGAATTTCGGGCCCTCATAGAAAGCCCCACGGAGGCGACCCAAGAAGGCCACAAGAGAGGTTTTATTTAAACTTTCCACGCAGGGGGGTCACCATGTATCCGCTCTTTCTACAACTGCTTCCAGTTGCAGGGCTCGGCTTGAGGCTCGGAGGGCCTTCAGGAGGATTCCAATCTGAGGTATCCAAAGACTTCGCGTGAGCTTCGAGTGCGATTGCGCTGCTCCAAGAGGGCTTCAAGACGGCCCCAAAGCGCTCCAAGACGCTCACAAGTGTTTCAAGCCGGCCAACAAGGACCCTGCGGACGCCCCTGGGGGCTCCAAAAGGATCCTCCCGGGGGCTCCAAGAGGCCAAAACCATACTTGTTCGCTTGGTTTTTGCAGGATTTTAGCGTTCTCGCCCTTTCGGATTCCAACGCCCCAAGACGGCCCAAGAGGCCACCAAGATCGCCCCAAGACGGCCCAAGAGGCCCCCGAAGAGGGCCCCAAGACGACCCACGATGGCACCAAGACGACCCATGAGGCCCACAATGCGGCCCAAGAGGCCCCAAGGACGGTCCCAAGATGCGACCCAGGGGCTACTGGAACTCACGTATCGAGATGTTGTCAACCAGGGTCGCCTCTTGTGAAACGGCGTGGGGGCATGCGGAGATCCTTCGCAAGTAGACGCGGCGCTGGGGTCACCATGTATCCCAAATGTACGAGTTCGTACATTTCTGAAACGATCGCGGGGCCTTTGGGGAGCACTTTAGGGTCATTTTGGGAGCCTGCTGGGGTGTCTTGGGGCCTGGTAGGGTCCTCTTGCTTCTTCTGTTGAGACTTCTTGGGGGCTTCTTAGGGCGTCTTGGGGAGCCCTTTTGGGGCCTCTTGGGGGCCTTGTCGGGCCCCAACGAGGGCCCCGAGAAGACTCCAAGAGGGTCCCGAAAAGTCTCCGGGTCACCCAGATTAGCTGCAAAACCATCTCCGGGTGACCCTGAGACCTCTCTGGGCCGTCTTGGAGAGCTCTTGAGGGGCTCCAGGACGGCTCGGGAACATTCAGAGAGGCCCCAAGAGGACCCCGAGAAGACTCCAAGAGGGTGCCGACAAGTCCCCGTCTCTCGCCATCTGAGCGGTGCCAAAAATACGACGGGTCCGCCCGTATCAGTTTGGATTGTATGCTCCCGAGACCGACTGCCTGAGGGCTTGTCGACATTTCGCCAATCGACTTGTGAGGATCGAGCCAGATCAATCCAGGCAACTGGCAGACAAATCGAGGTAAATCCAGGTAGATCCTGGCACATCGAGATGCCCCCGGGCAGCTCCAGGTGGACCCAGAGATCCCCAGGGACGGTTGGAGCACCTCGCGGCCGCTCCGGCGCGAGTCGAAGGACGGCAGAAGCCATTGAGCCTGCAGAGGGAGGAGGGAGGAGGGAGGAGGGAGGAGTAGGAGGAGGAGGAGGGAGGAGGGAGGAGAGGAGGAGGAGGAGGAGGAGGAGGAGTAGGAGAGGAGGAGGAGGAGGGAGGAGGAGGAGGAGGAGGAGGAGGAGGAGGAGGGGAGGAGGAGGAGGAGGAGGACGAGCGTCGTCGACCGGACCTCGGCGGGCCGGCGGAGCCTGGCCGGCCTCGGGCGGCCCTCGGCCGCAGCGCGGTGCCCGCCGCCGGCGCGCGAGGCGCGCCAGCGCGGGGCCGCGGCGCACGGCGGCGCGGCGGCGCGGGCGGCGCAGGCGGCGGGCGGGGGGCAGCTCCACGCGCAGAGGGGGGGGGAGGGGGGAGGGGGGAGGGGGGAGGGGGGGGAGGGGGGCAGGCCAGCAGCAGCCACGCGCAGAGGGGGGTGGGGGGAGGGGGGGAGGGCTTCCGAGGAGCACCCCTGCCTCTTCGAGGGCGCGGGCCTGAATCTGCAGATGGAAGGCCCCGGCGCCTTCTAAGAAGCAGCCTCCTTCGAAGAAGCCCTCCCCCCTCCCCCCACCCCCTTGTGCGCACCGCCAAGCAGCGGGGGGCAGTCTCGAGTCGGGCATGATGTCCTTCTGCAGGAGGAATCTTTCGGGGGCGGACAGAGCCCCCACCCCTGACACGTCGATCAGTGAATGGTTCGTTCTCGGTTTTCGAGAGGGCGCCGCGGCCGTCGTTTTCCAGGCTTGCGCCCGCCAGGTTTGGGCCCGAGGTCGTTTTCAGTAAACTGCGTTTTACGAAACGGGGTTCTGTCCATCCCCGAATATTTCAAACAAATATTCAACTAATAGTTTGGGGACGATGCTCGTAATACCTTCGACTTTTCCTTGATTTTTTCGTTGGGGACGATGTTTCGGTATTTTTTGTGAATTTATTTTTCCTCCAGAATCCGCTTGTAGTTAGGAGGACACGCCCGTTCTCCAGAATCCGCCTGTAGGAGGACATGCCCGACCTAAGGGTAGTCGAGCGGGGCCAGGACGAGGATAAATCCGTTTCAGAGCGTTCCAGAACGCTCTCAGAGTGCCCTCAGGATCCCTGAGGAGGCCCCTAAGGCCTCCAGAGCACCCTTCGCGAGGCCCAGAGGGCCCCATGGGCTCCAAAATGAAGCAAAGAAGCTGGAGGCGCCTTGGGCCAGGGGCACCTTTTTAGCAACCCCCGAGAGCTGGGGTGGAACTGAGAGGGGGCATCGGACGGGGCTAGGACGACGATTAATCCGTTCCAGAGCGTTCCAGAACGCTCTCAGAGCGCCCTGGGAGGACGCTCTGAGAAAGACGCGGCGCCCGAGGCTTCTTCCAGAGCCGCCGGATCTCAGAGATTCTCGACTTATCCTCACCCGATGTTATCCTCGTCCTGGCTTCGTCGTAGGTGGGGGGAGGGGGAAAGGCTTCTCAGAACCCCCTTCTGTTTCTTAGAGGGCGCGAGCCTTGTCTGTGGATGTGAGGCCCTCGTCCTAGAGGTGCCAGCCACTTGTGCATGCTGTGGGGGAGAGCTCGACCGCGAATGCCGCCACGCGCTGCGGTGTGCACCGGGAGCGAGCACCCGCGGGCACAACCCGGGTTCGCGACGCCCTTCTCTCGGACTTGCCAGTTTGTCTGACAGCGCTGCTGCCATCGAGGTCCCGGGCCTCGTCCCGTCACATCCAACTCTCCGCCTTGCCGACGTGCTCACATCGGCGGCTTTTGCCCGCCAGGCGGCCTTGGATGTTGGCGTGGCGTGCCCTGACTCGGTGGGCAGTGGGGCGGACGCCTGCGCCGCCATGCTGCAGGCGAAGTTGGACAAGCACGTCGGGGTGATCCCGGAGCTGGCCGACGAGGGCATCGACTACCGCCCGCTGATCTGGAGCTGCTGGGGTCGGCCCCGCGGTGGCGCTACGGCGGCCGTGCGCTCCAGGGCGGCAGCGGCGTCGCGCCAGAGGGGGGTGGCCACCCCGTCGGTGCTTGTTCGTAGGGCCGAGATGCTGGTCGGCACCCAGCTCTGGCGCCGGGCTGCTGCCATGGTTTCGGCCTGTCTGCCAGCGGCCCACGTTGGGGGCTCGGACGACGTGATCCCGCTGGCGCGGGCGCAGCGCCTGCGGGAGCTGGGGCGAACGGCAGACGACGTCGACTCGGCGGACGATGACGCGGCGCCCGCGGCCCAGCTGGAGAACCTGGGGAAGGTGGAGCCCGCGGCGGAAGGGGGAGCCCAGGGCGCCGAGGCGGCGCTGGCCACTGCTGCAGAAGTTGGTGCTCTTGGCCCGGAAGCTGGCGGTGCCGCTGGTGCCCCGGCACCAGCCCTCGCCGCGCGTTGGGGGGCCCGGGCGGCTGCCTTGCGGCTGGTGTGCGGCCGCGGGCCAGGGGGCTAGCGGCTGTCGGTGGCGGCGCGGGAGCGACAGCGGCGTGTGACAGCCCAGAGAGCGTTGTGAAGGAATGCTCCGCCACGTTCCTCTTCCCGCGCTTCCGCTGCCGAGAAAAACAAGGGGCCGCGCCTTCTGGGAAGCGGCCTCCCTCTAAGCAGCCGTCCCCCCTCCCCCTACGGTCGGACTGGGGCATAGGATCGAGGTCGGTTCGGGGAGGGTGCCCTCGTGTTCTTCGTGTTTGTTGGATGCTCTTGCGCGTCCTGGGGGAAGGCACCCAGGGTCTGCTTCTCCGCTCGCCTCCCCCTCACCGCACTCCTCCCGGGGGGGGCGATATGGGGGGCCTCCAGGGATGGAAATAATGAGCTGAAATCGACGAGTCATGGCCGATAGATCGGTGGTACAGTCGAAGCCGATGGTAAAGATGGGCCACCTGCCACCTTCCCAAGGATACCCTCGCATCCGTGCCTCTTTGGTCCATCTTTGACTACCTTCGATGGCCTGCCGCGCTCGGAAACAAGGCTCGACGCAGGCGTCCAAGTGGCTGGCATCCTCATCGCGCATCCTTAGTACTCTCGGACCGAGTTATAAGACCGAGGTGGATTTGGGGAGGTTGCCGTAATGTTCTTCGTGTTTGTATTGTGCGTCCTGGAGGAGGATGTCCTCGAGTGCTCTTCGATTTGGCCGGCGGAAGGGGCTCGTGTTCTTGAAGGATGTTTTTCTGTCCTATGCCTGACCGCATTCCAGAAAAAAGGTGGGCGGATCGCGCAAAACGCCCACGGCGCCCGTGCTGTGCAATGACATGAGGCCGAGGGGGAGGAGCGCCGAAGGGAGAAGGGCGACTAAAACTTCAGCACGAACGAAATGGAGGAGGAGGACGGAGGACGGAGGACAGGCAAAGGGCAGTTGATTTTGCTTTGGAAGCGGCGCAACAAAAGAGGTTTCGGTTGCCCGGACACTCGCGCGTAAGCTGCCCGCGCAAGGTGCGCGCAAACGCCCTCGTCTCCGAAGTCGATTTCCGCGCTGGCGGCCTGCGTCAGCCACCGCGTAAGGTCGCTACAGTGGAGACCAATGCGAAAAAAACACCTTGCTTGCTTCCAGGGTGCCCTGGGTTTTTTGGGTGTCGTTGGTTTCGCCGTGGAGAGCGTGACGTCCCCACACCAAAAATCAATGGACGCCTGGGGTCTCAGAGTTTTTTGTGTCTTGTTTTTGTTTTTTTTGTTTTTTTTTGTTTGTGGAAGGCTCCATTGGTCGAGATCCTGCTGCATGTCTCGTTTCTATGTGTCGCTTGTATCAGCAAAGCCAAATGTTGTCACTAACGATTGAATCCTGCGCGGCCCATCTGGCTCCCCTCTGCCTTGCCCGCGCTCACGGGGGGGCCCTGGGAGCACAGCATCCTGAAAACCGCATTTCCAATCGTCGCCATCATCGTCCACCACTTTGATGACGGTGGTGGGCCTGCTGATGACGACGGTGAAGTGACGATGAGTCGTGATAGTGACGATGATGATGGTGAATCTGATGATGATGATGATGATGATGATGATGATGGTGATGATGATGATGCTGATAGTGCTGCTGCTGATGATGGTGTTGATGATGACGACGATGGCGATGCTGATGCTTATGCTGATGTTGATTCTGCTGCTGCTGATGATGGTGGTGGTGATGGTGATGATGATGATGATGGTTGTGATGATGATGATGATGATGATGATGATGATGGTGATGGTGATGGTGATGGTGATGGTGATGATGGTGATGATGATGATGATGATGATGATGATGATGATGATGATGATGATGATGATGATGATGATGATGATGATTGTGATGATGATGATGATGATGATGATGATGGTGATGATGGTGATGATGATGATGATGATGATGATGATGATGATGATGATGATGATGATGATGATGGTTACGATGATGGTGATGATCCAGCTTTTCGTGTGTGTGTGTGTGTCCCGCGCCGCCCCTGGCGTCCTCCGCCCGGCCCTTGCTACCCCGTGGCCGCTCGCTTGCCCGCCGCTCTCCCGTGGCCGCTGCACCGCTCCCGCCCTGCCCGGACTTTCCTGTGCCCTCCCCTCCTGCAGGCCGCGGGCACCGGCGGCGGCACGCTGGACTTCTACCCCACCTTCTGGTCGCAGCGGTTTTCCCTTGACGATGGCTCCTCGAGCCCTCATCCCGCGTGGGAGTATCGTCGGAGGAGGAAAAGGTACTTACCCATACCGCTACCTTGGCCCGTTTTCCCCTTTTTGGGCCTCCTGGGAGGCCCTCGTTGCCACCGCTCGATGCGCCTCGACATTCTGGTCGGGACCCACCCCGGGAGAAGTCCAGGGAGTAGCGGTAGCGGTATCTCTTGGTTTCCCCACTGGTCCTCAATAGTTTTTTTTGTGCCACATGCTCCCCGCCCCAGTCAGAGTCCACCGCTTGGGGCCACGGTCATTATACAAAAACCATGGCTGGGGCCATGATATCTCCCCATACTGCATGGCGCCTTATCTTAGCTTGATGCGTCCACTGTTTCCCACCTGGGCCGCGTACATGCCTCGGACCATGATTTGCGAACCCCCCTTTTGGAAGCCCCCCTCTTGGATGCTCCCGAGGGTACGGCAGGAGCCATCTTGACTCTGCCGATTCAGCTCGGTTCGGTCTCGAGGACTCCGATTCCGAGTCGATTCGACTCTGGTTTCCAATTTCGGTTCAGAATTCTTCGTGTATGATTTGCTCACCGATTTCTGCCAGTTCGATGTATCTCGATGGCCGATTTGATCATCCGATTCGATTCTGTGCCATCCTGGTGCGGCAGCTTCGTGTCGTGCCGACGCGGTGGCGGCCCCGGCGTGGCCAGGGGCGGCGCTGGAGGCGCTGCCAGGGGGCCCCAGCGCCGATCCAAAAAATTCGCGCGGACCTTCGAGTTTTTGTGGTTATGTCATTGTTTGTTCCCCTACGATCGTTCACAGTTGAACGATCCACGCAGTGTCGGAAAACAGCGTTGGCCTTGTGCCCCGCCTTCTGGTCGCCGCGGCCCTCCCTTGGCGGTGTCCCCCGTGCCCCCATCCCGCGTGGGGTTCTCGGGCGGGACCTCCTCCTCATCCTCCTGCTACTCCTCCTCCTCCTCCTCCTCCTCCTGTTCCGCTTCCTCCTCCTCCTCCTCCTCCTCCTCCTCCTCCTCAGACTGGGGTGCTCAGACCTCCGACGACTCTTTTTTTCCCAACCATCCTGTGGTGTTGGGTCCTCGTTTTGAAGAGAGTGTCCCGCGTCACTCCTCCCGCTGCCCCCTCCTTGTCCTCCCATCCCTGCCTCTCCTCTCCCTGCGCCGTCAGCACCATCATTATCGTGATCTTCATCGCGAGCACCATCGCCGTCATCGGCGTCATCAACATCGCCATCGTAAGCGTCGTGTCTCTGTTCTCCACATGTCCACAATTTCGGTACACCCCTCACACGGTTCGTGGCCCCATAGGGAGCTCCACCGAAGGTTCCAGTGGCCGGTTCCGCATGCGTGAACGCTATTTATTTCGGCACACCCCTCACACGGTTCGTGCCCTCACAGGGAGCTCCACCGAAGGCCTCAGTGGCCGGGCCCGCATGCGTGAACGCCACCTATTTCGGCACACCCCTCACACGGTTCGTGGCCCCGCAGGGAGCTCCACCGAAGGCTCCAGTGGCTGGGTCCGCATGCGTGAACGCCACCTATTTCGGCACACACCTCACACGGTTCGTGGCCCCACAGGAAGCTCCACCGCAGGTTCCAGTGGCTGGGTCCGCATGCGTCAACGCCATTTTTTTCGGCACACCCCTCACACGATTCGTGGCCCCACAGGGAGCTCCACCGAAGGCCCCATTTGCAGGGTCCGCATGCGTCAACGCCACCTATTGGGCAAACCCCTCACACGGCTCGTGGCCCCACAGGGAGCTCTACCGAAGGCTCCAGTGGCAGGGTCCGCATGCGTGAATGCCACCCATTTCGGCGCACCCCTCACACGGTTCGTGGCCCCACATGGAGCTCCACCGACGGCGTCAGTGGCAGTGTCCGCATGCGTCAACGCCCCCCCATGTAGGCACACCCCTCACACGGTTCGTGGCCCCACAGGGAGCTCCACCGAAGGCTCCAGTGGCCGGGTCCGCATGCGTCAACGCCACCTATGTCGGCACCCTCTTACACGGTTCGTGGCCCCACAGGGAGCTCTACCGAAGGCCCCAGTGGCAGGGTCCGCATGCGTGAACGCCACCCATTTCGGCGCACCCCTCACACGGTTCGTGGCCCCATAGGGAGCTCCACCGAAGGCTTCAGTGGCAGGGTCCGCATGCGTTAACGCCACCCATTTCGGCCTCCCCTCACACGGTTCGTGGCCCCACAGGGAGCTCCACCGAAGGCTCCAGTGGCAGGGTCCGCATGCGTCAACGTTACTTAATTTGGCGCACCCCTCATACGGTTCGTGGGCCCATAGGGAGCTCCACCGAAGGCCCCAGTGGCAGGGTCCGCATGCGTCAATGCCACCCATGCAGGCACACCCCTCACACGATTCGTGGCCCCACAGGGAGCTCCACCGAAGGCCCCATTTGCAGGGTCCGCATGCGTCAACGCCACCCATCTCGGCGCACCCCTCGCATGTTTCGTGGCCCCATATGGAGCTCCACCGAAGGCTCAGTGGCAGGGTCCGCATGCGTTAACGCTACCCATTTCGGCCTCCCCTCACACGGTTCGTGGCCCCACAGGGAGCTCCACCGAAGGCTCCTGTGGCAGGGTCCGCATGCGTCAACGTTACTTACTTTGGCGCACCCCTCACACGGTTCGTGGGCCCATAGGGAGCTCCACCGAAGGCCCCAGTGGCAGGGTCCGCATGCGTCAATGCCACCCATGCAGGCGCACCCTTCACACGGTTCGTGGCCCCGTAGAGAGCTCCACCGAATGCTCCAGTGGCCGGGTCCGCATGCGTCAACGCCACCCATGTCGGCGCCTTCCTCGCACGTTTCGTGGCCCCACAGGGAGCGCCACCGAAGGCAGGCACACCCCTCACACTGTTCGTGGCTCCGTAGAGAGCTCCACCGAAGGCTCCATTGCCAGGGTCCGCATGCGCCAACGTTACTTATTTCGGCGCACCCCTCACACGGTTCGTGGCCCCACAGGGAGCTTCACCGAAGGCTCCAGTGGCCGGGTCCGCAGCGGAAGCGAGAGAGAGAGAGAGAGGATCATGAGCTGGGAAACATTGCAGACAAAACCGCCGCGCACGGGGCTTGGGCCTCTGCGGACTAGCTGGTCAGGATGGCAGCACGCTGCGGAAACAGGGAGAGGATAATGAGACGGGAAGAAGATGGAGACAGAACGGCTGCGCACGGGGCCCGGGCCAAAGCAAGAAACCAAGAACGCCACGCGCAACGGAAACAGAGAGCGAGAGGATAATGACACGTGAAGAACATGGATACAAAACGGCCGCGCGCGGGGCTCAGGCCAAAGCAAGAAACCAAGACTGCCACGCGCAACGCAAACAGGGAGAGAGGAGGACACGCTGGGAAGAAAATGGAGACAGCACGGCCGCGCACGGGGCTCGGGCCAAACCAAGACAACAACCGTGCAACACGCAACGGAACCACAGAGAGAGGAGACTACGCAGGTAAGAAACTGAAGACAACACGGCCGCGCACGGGGCTCGGGCCACCGCGGGCTTCCCTCCTCCGTCTCATCTCCTTCGCGGCACTCGCAGCTGCATACGGTAGGTTCGTGTCGTGTCAACCGGCCGCGACCCCGCCAGCGGCGTTCAACTTTGAACGCCGCGGGCGACCCAGAATCGTTCGATGTTGAACGAAGTGGACGTTTCGGAAGCGGCCGATCGTTCAAGGTTGAACGATCCCCGCGGTGTCAGAAACCAACGCCGAAGTCGGCACGACACGAACCTGCCGTATGGTTGGGTCCTTCGTCAGGCTAATTTTCCCAAACATCTTGTGGAGGTGGGTCCTCGTTTTGAAGAGACAGCGCCCCGCGTCACTCCTCCCGCTGCCCCCTCCCAGTCCTCCCATCCCTGCCTCTCCTCTCCCTGCGACGTCATCACCATCATTATCGTGCTGTTCATCGTGAGCACCATCGCCGTCATCGGCGTCATCAACATCGCCATCGTCAGCGTCGTGTCTCTGTTCTCCGCATGTCCACCATTTCGGCACACCCCTCACACGGTTCGTGGCCCCACAGGGAGCTCCACCGAAGGCTCCAGTGGCAAGGCCCGCATGCGTGAACGCCACCCATTTCGGCGCATCTCTCACACGGTTCGTGCCCCCCACAGGGAGCTCCACCGAAGGCCCCAGTTGCAGGGTCCGCATGCGTCAACGCCACTCATGTCGGTACACCCCTCACACGTTTCGTGGCCCGATAGTGAGCTCCACCGAAGGCTCCAGTGGCAGGGTCCGCATGCGTGAACGCCACCTATTTCGGCACACCCCTCACACGGTTCGTGCCCCCACAGGGAGCTCCCAGGGAGCTCCACCAAAGGCCCCACTGGCAGGGTCCGCATGCGTCAACGCCACCCATGCAGGCACACCCTTCACACGTTTCGTGGCCCCGTAGAGAGCTCCACCGAAGGCTCCATTGCCAGGGTCCGCATGCGTGAACGCCACAAACTGCGGCACCCCCCTCACACGGGTCGTGGCCCCACAGGGAGCCCGCATGCGTCAACGCCCCCCATGTAGGCGCACCCCTCACACGGTTCGTGGCCCCATAGGGAGCTCCACCGAAGGCTCCAGTGGCAGGGTCCGCATACGTGAGCGCCACAAATTTCGGCACCCCCCTCACACGGTTCGTAGCCACACAGGGAGATCCACCGAACATTCTCTGGCAGTGTCCGCATGCGTCAACGCCACCTATGTCGGTACACCCCTCACACGGTTCGTGGCCTCACAGGGAGCTTCTCCGAAGGCCCCAGTGGCAGGGTCCACATGCGTCAACGCCACCCATCTTGGCGCACCTCTCGCACGTTTCGTGGCCCCACAGGGAGCTCCACCGAAGGCAGGCACACCCCTCACACGGTTCGTGGCCCCACAGGAAGTTCCACCGAAGGCTCCAGTGGCACAGGCCGCACGCGGGGACCGCCACCCATTTTGGCACACCCCTCACACGGTTCGTGGCCCCGCAGGGAGCTCCACCCAGGACTCCATTGGCACAGGCCGCATACGGGGACCGCCACCCATGTAGGCACACCCCTCACACGGTTCGTGGCCCCAAGAAGCGCCCAGACAGGCGCCGCGAAGCGCAGACGCAGCCCCAGCTATGACGATGTCTGGATTTTTTTCAGAAAGGTATCCGGAAGAACCTAGCATTTGGTGCAGGCTGGAGTGACCCGGGGAGCTCGGTCACCTCGCGGGCGCGACGATGACCCTAGCGTTCGCGTCGCGGCCCGGGCTGGACGTGCTCTTCTCCAGGGGGCATCGCGAGGGCGCGAAGATAACCGCGCACCGCGGGGCACCCGGAAGCTTCGAGGCGAGGTACTTTCTGGCATTCGGTGCAGGCTGGTGCGACTCGGGGAGCTCGGTCACCTTAGGGGCGACGTCGGTCGCCTCGGCCGGTCGGCTGCCATTCTCCGCTCGCCCATGCCCAGCGCCAACGACGCAGCAGTTGAGTTTTAGCATGCGCGGAGCGGCAGCGTCTGGGACGACCCGCGCGCGTCGCCGGGACTCCTTCGGGGCGACCAGCGCGCGTCGCGGGGACTCCGTGCTGCGCTCTGCGCGGCACCTCGCTCGCCCGTCCTCGCTCTGCCCAGCGGCCAGCGCTTGGCCCGCTGTCGGCCAGCCAGCTAGCTTTCTTTTTGTTCCGCGCAGCGGACGACCCGCGCGCGTCGCCTGGACCCCTGCGGGGCGACTGGCGCGCGTCGCGGGGGCTCCGCGCTGCGCTCTGCCCAAAGCCGCGGTCGCCATGACGCGAGCTCACAGCGCGTTGCTTTGCCCAGTGCCGCGGACGACCCGCGCGCGTCGCCGGAACTCCTCTGGGGCGACCGGCGCGCGTCGGGGGAACTCCGCGATGCGCTCCGCTTAGAGCCGCGGCCATCGCGACGCTAGGACGAAGCGGGGAGAAGGGCGTGAGCTCGGAACAAACAAGGGGACAAAATGGCCGCGCACGGGGCTCGGGACACCGCGGGCCAGGCCGGTGAAGAATGCAACGCGCAATGGAAACGAGAGAGAGAGAGAGAGAGAGAAAGAGGATTTTGAGTTGGGAAGAGCTTGGAGACAAGCCCGCCTCGCACGGGGCTTGGGCCACCGCGGGCTAGGTGGTTAACTGGCAGCGCTCTGCGGAAGCAGGGAAAGAAGATAATGAGACGGGAAGAATATGAAGACATAGCGGCCGCGCACAGGGCTCAGGCCAAAACGAGCAACCAAGAATGGCAATCGCAAAGTAAACAAGGAGAGATGCTAATGAGCTGGGAAGCGCATGGAAGACAAAACGGCCGTGCAAGGGGCTCAGGCCAAATCAAGAAAACGAGCGTGCAACACGCAACCGAAACACAGAGAAAGGATAATACGCTTGGACAAGAACGGCAAATCGGCCGTGCACGGGGCTCGGGTCACCGCGGGCCTCCCTCCTCCGTCTCATCTCTTTCGCGGTATGCGCAGCTGCATATGGTTGGGTCCTTCGTCCGGCTAATTCATTGGTTGGGATGTGTACATATATACATCTGTGTGTGTGTGTGTGTGAAAATCATTTCCTATGTTTCAAGCTGTATCTATATATGTCTGAATCTTTTCAACCTATCATTTTATTGTTGAGTGACAAAAATGACCAGGCACTTTTCCTCGATTTCGGTCCTCGTGGGTCTTTTGTCGGGCCGCCAGACCACCAGAAATGAGGCCGGGGGGAACGAATATTCCCAGGGAAACGATCGGGACCGCTTGGGACCGCGGATTGACAAATTGTATCGGCGGGTGTCAGGGTACAAATCGTTCCACGCGTTTCGGGGCTTTCACGAGGCCCCGGAACACTGGAACGGCCGCAGCGCCCGATACATTATCCAGATTTTATCAGTGTCTTGGCTGCGACTCAGGGTACGCATCCAGATCGCTTTTGAGTAGAGCGCTGTGGTTGAGTCTTACTGTGTTGGGTTCTCGCTTCGAGAGCACTGAGGTCGAGTCTTCCTCTTCTTCTCCTCCCCCCTCCGCCGTCCTGCCTCCTACTTCCTGCCTCCTGTCTCCTCTTCCTTCTCTTCTTCCTCCGTTGTCCTATCCTTCGTCCTGCTTGCGACCCTGGAGGACTGCGAACTGCGGAACTGTCGCCGCTGTAGTGGGCTCCTGGGAGGTCCAGCGGAGTGGAGTGGTACGCACAGCCAGTTGGGACCTTGCGGCGCCTTGCGTGGCTGCGAAGCGCGCAACTGTCGCCACTTTCATGGGTTCCTGGGAGGCCCAGCGGAGTGGAGTGGTACGCGGACCCAGTTGAGACTTCGTGCGTGGCTGCGAAGCGTGCATCTGTCGCCACTTGCGTGGGCTCCTGGGAGGTCCAGCGGAGTTGAGTGGTACGCGGACCCAGTTGGGTCTTCGCGGCGCCCTGCGTGGCTGCGAAGAGCGCAACTGTCGCCACTTGCGTGTGCTCCTGGGAGGTCCAGCGGAGTGGAGTGGTACGCAGACCCAGTTGGGTCTTCGCGGCGCCCTGCGTGGCTGCGAAGCGCGCAACTGTCGCCACTGTCGTAGGCTCCTGGGAGGTCCAGCGGAGTGGAGTGGTACGCAGACCCAGTTGGGACGTCGCGGCGCCCTGCGTGGCTGCGAAGCGCGCAAGTGTCGCCTTTTTCGTGGGCTCCTCGGATGCCGCAACGAGAAATGCAACTGACAACAAGTACCCGCATCCAAAATGGCAAGGGTTTCATAGCGCGCGGCGCTGTTCCTTCACGCAACGCTCGGCGCTGTCGCATCGCAGCTCGCAGGGAGCCGCTGCGCCACGCAGCGCATGGCGCTGTTCTTTCGTCGGCGTGGCCTGCCATCCTCAGGTGCTTCTGGCCCGCCATGCCACCCCGCGCGCTTGCCTCGCTTGGAGCGACGCGCTGTTCTGCTATAGAGCAGGCGCATGGCGCTGTTCTTTCCCTCGTATGGTGCGCTCGGCGCTGTTGCTGCTACTGAACATGCATCTCCCTCCTCCACACCCCTCTGTATGCTTAGGTCTTCGTCTCGATATTGCTTATTCCTGCATGCTTTCTTGCGCACATCCTGGGGGCTCGTGCTGACTGCGGGTCCCTCAACATGCCTTTGTGCAGTGGGCGGTCCTGTATGCATCTGTATACAGCTAGGATCGAGGTCGGCTCGGGGCGGGTACCCCCGTGTTCTTCGTGCTTGTTGGGTGTTCTTGTGTACTTCAGATTTCGTAACAAGTGGCACGCGCGCCATGGCTCTTGCACAAAAAGGAAAGG